AAGACAGGGTGGATACTAAAGTGCTCCATAAAGCCATGTCGCCCTCGAATGATGGGTCAAAAAGCTATTGATACAATCAGCCATGTGTTCCTCTTAATGGTTATCTTGAAATGTTGATCGATCAAATAACAATGACCAAGGTAGGAACTGTACGGGCTTTGCAGGACATACCTCTTGGAAACCCTGACCTTCATCTAGGTGTTGGGCATTGAAGCCATTTTGAGCATCTGCACCTGAGGGTTTCATCTCCGTAGCAATGGGCTCGCCATGTTGGGCAAGGCCTGCTTCTGAGGGCCTTGCACGTTGGACAACTGTAGATGCGAACTCGGCCCATTCCCCAATAAATGAATAGTTGAGAGCCCCATTGGTCTCAAAGTTAAGGCGATGAGCGAATCCTGAGGCGATACCCATGAGCATCAGATCAGAATGAGCCGTTCCAGCGCCTGGACTGGACAGGATATGCACGAGAAGCATGATTACCGACCGAAACGGGGCATATAAAGCAAGGCTGCGTAGACCAGTTCAGCATATAGTTCGTATACAAAAGCCATTATTCCTTGTGGGATGGACTCTTACAGTACGGGGGTATTGGGCTCCAGACGGACCAAGCGAGTGGCCAAGATCACGCTTCGTGCGGTCTCAGATACAATACGGCAAGAGATTTCGATCTGGGGCCGAAAAGTGTCGAGCCGGCCGACGTCGGTAAAATGGAACCAGGGGACAAGCAAAGAGCTATGAATGTCGATCAATACACCATAATAGAGAAAATAGGCCATGATGAGCTGAAACTTGGTCATGGTCGGTGGTAACTGCACATCATCGATGTCATCGTCGAACGAGATGATATGCTTCATAGATTGTTTAAAGGAATCCAGTTTGTCGTTTAGCTCCATCACGGCGCGTACCAAGGTTTCCGTAGATTGTCGCCGAGCTCGAGCGCTGGATAAGCGTCTATATGCTTGAGATTGAATTCGACTAAGCAGGACACTTATCGTAGTGAATGTGGTGCTAATATTGTCGCCGCTCGTGCATATATCAGGTGGCTCGCAACTGATTTCATCATCGTCTATCGCCTGTAATGAGAGTCAGTCACATTGATTGTTCCTTCCATCCATTATGGCGATGCTTACTGGGGGAAGTCCAGAACGGGAGGAAATCTGCCTATCCAGCACGTATATGTTCCAAAACAGCTGATTGCGCTGACAAATCTCCCGCTGTGAAAGTCTCCATGTGGACGCAGCCTGACAGTGGAGACCTTTCGCGATTGCTAGGCGCATCGCATTTGATATCAAAGTGTACTCTATGTGAGGACTGCCGATGCCCTCGCTGAAGCTTGCCTAGTCCCTAGTTAGGTATTCGATCATTTTCTTACACTGAGTTGCAAGACTCACCATTAGCAATAGGGCTCTGACGCTAATGACAGAAGAGTGGCCGTGCAGTATGTCCTGTTGCACGGATAAAGCGTTTTCGAACAAAGCGACGGACGCCTCCACCGCACGTGCATATGACTGATTTCTAGCCATAGAGATTCGGCATCCAAATGCGTAGACTGTGAAGCGGAGTGCAAACCACGTTGGATCCCCACGATCTGGTTTCGGGCTTCTAAAATGCTCTGCTAGAGAGGTCTGGAACCAGTACTGATCGACAATGCCAATATCGGCCTCAAGGGATCCCTCGAAGAAAGCTGCAGGTAGATTGGGTCAGTGCCTATTTTGGAATACCGCGATTGTCGCACATACCCCTCACATATGACCAAGCGATGTCTTCTGCTGGCTCAGGGGCCTGGCACTTCCCTTGTAGGAAAGATCCAGGACTCTTTTTGAAGCGCAGGGTGACACCTCTCGCAAATCGGTGGAGAGATTGCCTTATGCCTGGGCATTGCGCCCTGCTCTCAAACCATTCAATACCTGGCTGAGATGCAATCGATAGCAAAGATCTCGGCCCTATTGATATGCGTGCATCAGCGCTGTGCGACCGAGTTTGATATATACTTACCGTAGTATTCCCAATTTGACTGAAGATGGAAGTTAGTCCCTATGAAGGAACGACTAATGGGCGATTACTCACCGTCTCATCCGAAACGAGACTCGGGTTTTCTTGTAAAGCCAGATCTGTGGCGCAGTGCTCCAGTACAGTTTCCACGGCCTTTGTGATGTTCGGTGATCTTGCGCTTGTTGTCGCAGTCATTGTGGTCGACTGGTTCTGGGAGTAAGCTGCATCGACGATGTCGTATGACGTTTGCTCGTGGGCTGGTTCGGTATAGTCCTCCTCGATCTCAATGTGTCCCGTTGCGACTGAGCCAGAATGATGGGTTTCCAGGAATGAGTCGACATTGGCTAGGGGCCAGTTTGAATCGGAGACAGTGGCATGGCTGACCTCGTGCGTTGTGGTCACTGGTATCTCATCTTTGGGGACTTCTCCAGCATGAGACTCGAGTGCAGGGATAGCCATGTCATCTGTCGTAGCCCTTGATCCATGTCCAGATTGAACAACCGTTTGCTGAGCAGATGTCGAATTCATCAACGCTTCCAATCGAATAAGGCGGACAGACATGTTCTCACGACGAGGTCGGGCGGTCTTTTGGCGGCTTCTAGCAAGGAAGAGACATTCTGTATCATGGTCGATGCACTGCTTGCACGGATGTCCTCCTTCACCTGGATAAATTCAGTGGAAAATGTGCGCTAGGTAGGATTGATGCTTACATTTCACTTTCTTTACGCGACAAAAACTGCAAGCTTTGGAATATTTCGTTCTTTCGATAGGTGTGTTGCCGGATGTCGTACCCGCACCATCCATCGCTACTGGTGTCAGTGAGAGAAGCTGAGATATGTTGTTTGCTTAGTCGACAAAATCATATACATCGTTTCATATCAGTGGATGAGAGATAAAGGCGAGTGTAGTGAGGAGGAAGCTCAAGGTTCCCCGCATCGACATCAGAATGTGGAGGTTCCTCGCCAAGTGAATGGAATGGCCGCAACACCAAACGGAATCTGCCCCAGCGGGGTTCCCCAGTATCTTCGGCGTTCGGGGAAATGAGAAAATTCCGATTCCCAAGTCGCACTATTGGGTGTTCAGTGATAGACGAGGATGGAATGTTGGAATGGTCTCCTGAGCCGGTCACAGTACTCGGTATCATAGGAAGCCATGTTTGAGGAATTGTGGAATGTCTCGGAGTCTGGACTGGCGCAGGCAAATTTTCCACGGCGTTAATATAATACCTGACAATATCCTCGTGGCTTCGATCATCACTCATCTAAGTTTGAAATTTCCCACCACCTAGAACATACCTCAGCTTGCAAGTGCTGCCATCTCAATGGGCTCAATAGAAAAGGAAAAGTGCACAAGAGTGCTCATCGTGGGCGCAGGCCCCGTGGGCTTGCTGACCGGACTCATGCTCGCCAAATGCGGAATTCAGGTCGATGTCTTAGACGCGGCTATGGAAATCGACCCACGTCCTCGAGGTATTGCTTATGGACCCCCAGCAGTCAAGTATGTTTTCCATCCTCCCCTATCATGGTGTTGAGGTTGTTGTCCTGAAGCTAAGGTCGCAGGGTGTTTCGCCGTGCCGGAGTCCTGGACGAAGTCCTCAAAAGAGGGATAGAGGGCAAGAGATTGATCTGGAGAGAGCTCAGCGGGAAATTTGTAAGTTGCCTCTTCACACAGGAATGGAAATAGCCCTGATTAAGGTTTCTCCAAAGATTACAGCACTCGATTTCACCAGCGATCCCACACACGTTGACAAATCGGTCATCTTACCTGTGCACCTTCTGGCTGGTTTGTTGTACGAAGAAATTACAAAACTTGATAACGCGAAAGTACATTGGGGTTGTAAATTCGTCAACCTCAGTCAAGATGAGGGTCATGTACTGGCCGAAGCAGAACGTAATGGCCAGCTGGAGACGTTTGACGTTGACTTTGTTGTTGGATGTGACGGTGCTCGCAGCTCTGTGCGGAAAGTACTAGTTGACGACGTGTTCCCAGGAAAGACCTGGGATGTGCAAATTGTCGCAATGAATGAAGGTTTCCCTATTCCATATCCTGGAAAATGCTAACAGTAATACTAGATACGCTACCCTGGTTTCGAGAAGCATGGCTGGACAGACACGCAGTGGATTGTGCATCCCGAGCATTGGGGGATGGCTTGCAAGATTGACGATACAGGACTATGGCGATTCGGATATGGGGCGCGTGTTGCTATGGAGGAAGCGGAACTGAAAGCTCTCATGGAGAAAAAGCTCGAAATGCTTCTGCCTGGTGCACCCAAACAGGGAGAGTATGAAGTGCTGAGATGGAGTCCCTTCGTGATGAACAATAGGTGTGTGGAAAAGATGCATGTTGGGCGGGTCCTCCTTGCGGGAGATGCCGCCCATCTATGTAATCCAATGTAAGTCGTGGGATGTTATCTGATAGGTCAAGATTAACGTACAACTTTTAGGGGTGGTCTTGGTCTGACTGGAGGCATTGCGGACGTCGGAAGTCTAGTCGACGCTCTACAAGGTATTCACGAAGGGAAAGCCAGTCTGAAAATTCTGGAGGTCTACGATCAAACTCGTCGAGAGATATATCACAAATTTATCGATCCCGTCTCGTCAGCAAATCTGGAGCGCATATGGTTAGATGGATCAACAGCTTTGGAGACCGACCCGGGTCTACAATTTATACAAGCCGCCTCTCAGGATCCGACCAAGATGGCCCAACTCCTCCATGTAAGTTTCTGACTAATCTGCTCTGGGAGAAGTATCCGTCTCACCAAGTCACAGTCACAGGACGTCCTTACTGCAGACCTGACACAACATTATGACCTAAATAATGGAATTGCCGGCAGTAATAAGGGAGCTGTTGAATGAAAGACACTGTAATTGATTATACATAGCTCTTCATTCATACGCAAAACCAAAGTCTGACCAGGTCAACTTTCAGTTGTCCTATGATCAATATCAGACTACACTTATTCTTACATGACAGGGGAAACCCGTGAAAATACATATAATTTTGCCTGTCTACGGTGATATATCGGAGAGTCGTTTAGCAAGCTCAAATCCCCAGGCTTCAGCAGCCTTGTCCCCTGTACCCAAGGCAAGTGGTGGACTGAGATGATTATGGCCCTGAAGCTCCCAGTATTCGGCTTGCCCGCCAAGCTCTTTCCACTCAGTCATTAATGTCTTCTCTGTCTCGATGAGAAAGATGGGATCATACTCCGCGGCAACCAACAGCAAATGTGGGAGAAGCATGGTACTGCCGCCATCTTTGTCGGCCGAGCGACGACCAAACTTCCGGCGCATTAGATTCAATGGCGCGTTTTGAACGATGTTCTCCCTGGTCTTGTAGTATCTCAACAAATTAGGTACCATAGGCGCTACGAACTCATTGTCCGGGTCCGCAAGCATTGTAGAACTCAGAATAATCGCCCTTCTTAGATGAAGCTTTGCCGAAGGTTCCAATACCCGCTGTGTTGAGCTTGTGAATGCCTCGTCGAATAGCCATGAAGCCAGATGCAAACCACCAGCTGAGTTGCCCATGACAACCATATCCCGCTTCTCACCTTCGAGACAAAGGTTTTCCGTAACCCATCTGATGACGAGATCGAGATCCTCCCCACCGGTGTTGAAAACCGCGCCGTGCTGCAGCAGACGATAGTTGATGATGATTGCGTCGTATCCTAGTTCTTCCGCCAGGAAGTAACCTAGACCTTTGTACACAACCTCGCCTTTGATCTCTGGCGCAATGCTTCCACCGCTGACATTGGCGCCGCCGTGAATAAAAATAAAGATGCTTCTACGTTGACTTTTGTGTGAAGATCGATATAGGTCGAGAGTTTGTCGTTCATGGTGGCCGAACCGATGCACCTCTCTTGGGATACTGTTCAGTAATGCCAAACGTTCCGGGCGTCGCAAGAGGTCTCCAAATATCTGAAAGGTTGGTACCGACGCAGCGAATACATCGCGGCCAAACGCTGGCAACTTGTCCATCTTTCTTGTAATGCACGAGCAATGTAAGCTGGACAGAAGTGGTGGTCAGTAGAATAGGAGACGGAAAGACGAATTATCTCCCAGGTCCGAGGCCTAAAATATACTATTGAGATGCCGCCTAGAATAGCCTAGTTACATGTGCGGCCACCGAGTTGAGCCGAAAGGACTGAATTTCCTTCGTCCGGCGATATATAGACTTTCCGGAATACCGAAACCGGGTCTTTTCATATTTAATGCCATGAACACGGGTAATGTAGAGGAGGATATATATATTTTCGGCGCGCGGGAACAATACTAAACTAAAGACCTAATTATAGAATATTGTGAGCTCCCCGGGAGTTATGGCTTAGGTAACTCACCTAAAGTAGAGGCTTAGCGAGAAAGTTCCCGCGAGTTTCTATAGCCTATCTAGGATATATACCTAAATCGTGCAGGATTATCTTTAGGGCTTCCCTCATCTAGTTTAGTATAATATCCCAAAGTAGTAATATCTTATAAGATTAAGATACAAGATAGGGTTAGGGTTAGGGTTAGGGTTAGGGTTAGGGTTAGGGTTAGGGTTAGGGTTAGGGTTAGGGTTAGGGTTAGGGTTAGGGTTAGGGTTAGGGTTAGGG